TGCCCGTCCCCTCCCACCCGGCCCCTCCCACTCGGCCTCGGCCCTTCCGCTCTGTCGCCGCCCGCTGCCCCGCCGCCGCTGCCAGTGCCACCCGCTTGGGGACACAGCTGCCCGGGCCCCCTCCGGGGTCTGCGGACGGCTTGCCCTCCCCGCGCTGGCCTGCGTGAGAGGTTTCCGATCTCTGCGCACGTCCGAATGGTGCCCTGCGCCTGGGGTTGCTGATTGACGCGGCTGATTGCCCAAGGAGCCCGGCCGGACTAAACCTCGCTCGCAGTGTCCTGCTTTCAGTGCGGCACGGGCTTCCCTGTCCCCAGGCCCAGAGGTCAGCCCTAGAGAACATCCTGCCGCCCAGGTTCTCTCCGGCTCTCAGCCAGAGTCTCCACGTCTCCACGGCTGGCCACTGCACAGAGGCTGAGATGACTCCCTGCCTATTTCCTTTTTATCCTGAGCGTCATTCGAAAGCTTCTGGAAATGACACTTTAAACAACAGTGCCCCCACTCAGTCTTCTTGTGATCAGCCGCTCCTGAAGGACGCTCTTTGCGAGACAGGGGTGGGAGGGGTCACCGAATGCTGCTGGCCCCACTCGTACATAGAGGAAGAACAAGGAGGAATCAAGTATGTCTTCTCCCATGCTGTCCTTCAAAGACTCACCAGTCACGTGCTCCCATAATTTCCCTCCATCTCACCCCTGTCCGTGCTGCCCTTCCACCCAGGGAGCTCCCGTCAATGCCTGAACTTCTCTGCATCCCCATTGCCAAAGCCCTCTGCTACACATCCCAAGCATAGATTCGCTAAAACCTGCGAGATGTGACCTGTGCAGGGCAGTGGCCCCCGCCAAGAAATCTCCCAGGGCTTTGCCCAGCTATCTTTTAAGTACTGTTGACACATGTCATCATTTGACACACACTTCCATTTCCCAAGCCAAGCATAAGGTTGCCTACTACTCCACTACCTAACTACTCCAGCCCAACTCGGTCTAAAAATTTCTCTTACCTTCCCAAGGACCAGAGGCAAACACTAATCAACGTTTGGGTTTCTACCTGGATGACCTGAAAAAGGATAGCTTTTACTGATTCTGGACTATATCTGCCAATACTGGGTGGACAGAAAACCTGACTCTGCTGTTTTGTAACTGGAAAAGCAACACTCACATCGCTTTAAGATACTTAATGAGGGCTGGGGATATAGCTCAGTGGCATAAGCGCCTGCCTGTCAAGTGCAAGGTCATGAGTTCGATCCCTGGTACTGAAAAAAAAAAAAAAATACTTACTGAGAACTGTCAGTGAAAAACTGCACCAGGTACCAAAATGTACCCGCCTTAGCACGGATAGGCTGTCTACCTGTTTCCTTTATTAGTATATGAGCCACGTGAGGGCAGGGAGAGGGTCTGATAAATCATTGGGTTTCCAGTATCTAGCATAGTGCCAAGCATATAGTATGTGTATATTTAATAAACATAGCCTAAACGAAGGGACATGAGGGAAAGAACTAGAGATACTTTAGCTGTGTACTTTATAAACCTAAACTGACATTCCCAAGCCAACATTTGGGCCACTTGCTCCCACAAACAGACTTGAGCTAGGAGAAGACTAGAGTCTCTTCAATCAAGACTGGCCTGTAAAGCCGGGCATGTGGCGCACGCCTGTAATCCCAGCACTCAGGAGGCTGAGGCAGGAGGATCGTTGCAAGTTCGAGGCCAGCCTGGGCTACAAAGTGAGCTCAAGGCCAGCTTGAACTGCATAGCGAGACCCTATCTCAAAAAGACAAAAAAAAAAAAAAAAAGCAAAAGACTGGCCTGTAAGAACCAGGATGCAAAATTTCTGTGGCTGCAGGAGTCTAAAGGAAGGAAGAAAAATCTACAGAAATTAGTGGTCACAGGCCCTACTAGGATTCACTGTTGTCTACAGAGAAACACTCTTAAGCACCCACTTTCTCAGCCTAGGTTTGGGTGGAGAGAGCACGTGAATACTAAGTAAATATCTACTGAGTGTCACATACTTTGCATAGTTTTCTCACTTATTTAATAAAAGGTCGACTTTCTGTCGGGTGTGATGGCACACACCTTGTAATCCCAGCACTCCAGAAACTGAGGCAGGAAAATGGGACCCTAAGTTTGGGTTACATAGGAAAATGGGACCCTAAGTTTGTAGTCCAGCTTGGACTACATAGTTAGACCTTGTATCAAAAAAAAAAAAAAAAAAAAAAGTCGTTGAACGTCGAATGACTTTCTTACAATTGGCTTATGAACTACGTTTTGGAAAAGAAAAAATTTATGTTCAGGGAGATTTAGTAGAGCATGTGCCTACAGGCACAGCATAAAGGGTTCATAGCGTTTGCTCTGTTCCCTGGTCCACAGTCTTTCACGGTCCTGCGGAGGCTACGAGGGGGCAGAGAGAGGGGACAGCTCCTGGGGGATCGGTGTCGGCGTCCTCAGCTAACTGGTGGTGCAGCCTACGCCTCCTGACCTCTGGGGACCCAGGCTGCCTCTGTCCTCCCCCAACCCCGACATCGGCGGAGGCTGTGATAGGGCCACATGGGCTCCCTGCGTGCATCACTAACATGAATGCTGTGACGTGCTCCCGCTGACGTTGGTGTCTGGAGTGACAGATACTCGGCCGCCGGCGGCAGAGGGGGCGGATCCGCGGCCGCCGGGCTCTCGGCGGGCCAGCACCGCCCCCAAAGCCGCCTGCGCAGTCCGCTCCGCGGTCCGTAGGCGCCGGGAACTGCGCGCGGACTCGGCACGTGGGTGCGCAGGGCGCGAGCAAGCAAGATGGAGGCCAGCCTAGCAGCTTGAGGCTTTGCCTTTCACAGAGGCTGGGAAGAAAGGTCGTCTACGCAGGGGGTGGGTGCGCAGGGCGCGAGGCGGGACCGTGCGGCGGACTACAAGTCCCACAATGCCCCGGGCCGCGGCGGCGGGGAAGGAGCGGAGCCCCAGGTGTCTGCGACCTCGGTGCCTCCCGCCCGGAAGTGCCTAAGGGGCCGCGATGGAGCTGGCGGGGCCGGGAGGTGAGTGCCTGCGCTCGCCCCGCCCCGGGATCGCCCGCGCTCTCCCGCGGCCCGGGGGGGCGGGAAGATGGGAGGGTTATGAGGCGGCGGGGTGGAGAGGGCGCAGCGCGGGTCCCAGACGGAGCCCGGGTCTGGCGGCCGCTGGGCTTGGGCAGGCTCCCGGTAGAGGAGGCGCGGAGTCCGGGCGCCGCGGGGCGGCGTGCGGCCGTTTGTGGGGCCCAGGAAGGGGCGAGCTGGCTGGGTGGTTGCGCGCGGAGATTCCAGGGTGCCCAAGGGCGGAGCTCGACGACTGGTGTGGGGGCAGCTCCGGAGATAAGTCCTTTGTCGCGCGTGGGGTTGGGGTTCACGATGCGGGGGCGGGGCGGGGGAGACCCCATCTCTGCCCCTTGGAGAAACGTGAGTGACCGAACCTTAGATAAGCTGGGAGGGGGAGCGGGTGAAGGAGCGAGTAAACTGGGATGAAGTGGATGAAAGTGTAGGTAAGGGGCGGGGGATGCAGCTCAGCGCCACAGGCGCCTGCCTGCCAAGCGCAAGGTCCTGAGTTCCGTTCCCGTACCAAAAAAAAAAAAAAAAAAAAAAGTGTAGGTAAGCTTGGGGCGAAGTTCGGCGAGGGTTAAATGTAGAAGAGGGGCTGTTTAGAAGGTCCAGGGCCTCCCTGTAGAGACAGGGTTTGGGTGAATTGGGGGGTTGGCTGCCGTGGCTTCGCCGGGCCGGGCTGGCATTGGAGTTCCTGCTGGGGACCCAGGATTTTGTGAGAGTTGAATAATCCCAGTACTTGGGAGGCTGAGGCTGGAGGATCTCCACGAGTTTAAAGCCAGCCTGAACTACGCTGTATGTCAAGACCCTGTCTCAATAATAACAGCAAAAAGACTTCGAGAACTCAGGCTTACAAAGTTAGGACTTGAGATTTGGTGATGGGGAGGGGCACTAAAAGGCAAATTTGGGGGTCAGAGCAGTCTGTCCCCTGGGGTGGGGAAGGCCGCGGAAGAATCAGCGTGGTGCGAGAGTTGAGGTGGGTGGGGTTGGGGGCCCGCTGGGGTTGGGAGGGCTCCGGGCCCGGGAGCCAGCCTCTCACTGTCCTTTCTGCCTCCCTAGCTCGGTAGCACGGCAGGCGAGGCAGGTGCCATGGCCTTGATTGAAGGGGTGGGGGATGAGGTGACCGTGCTCTTCGCGGTGCTCACCTGCCTTCTGGTGCTGGCCCTCGCCTGGGTCTCAACACACACCTCCGAGGGCGCCGATCCCCCGCCCCAGCCCCAGCCGGCACGGACTGCAGCGCCAGCGCGGCCCAGCGAGCCCATGGCAGACCTGGACAGCATCAGAGGCGAGGCACCTGCGGCTGAAACCCCCAGCCTGCGACACAGAGGCCAGGCTGCACAGCCGGAACCCGGCGGCGCCGGAGTGACAGCAGCGCCAGCAGCAGCCGCGGACCCGCCCCAGGAGCCCCTGGTGCTCCGCCTGAAATTCCTCAATGACTCCGAGCAGGTGGCCAGGGCCTGGCCCCACGACACCATCGGCTCCCTGAAGAGGTAAGCGGGCGGGCGGGGAGGGACCGCTAAGGGGCGGGACGGTAGGCAGTGACGACGGAAGGACCTCCCGAGACCCCGGGGGCACCCGGCATTTTCTGTCCCCGGGTCCCAGGCCGCCCCCCAGCGGCCACAGCCTGGGCGGCGAGCGGAGGGCAGGGCAGCGGGGCCGGGCGGGGACCGGGGTTGTCTGAGGCCCGCTCTCTTACCCAGGGCCCTCTCTCCTCAGGACCCAGTTTCCCGGCCGGGAGCAGCAGGTGCGGCTCATCTACCAAGGCCAGCTGCTCGGAGACGACGCGCAGACCCTGGGCAGCCTTCACCTGCCCCCCAACTGCGTGCTGCACTGCCACGTGTCCGCCAGGGCCGGCCCCCCTCGCCCCCCCTGCCCCCCGGGGTCCGAGCCGGGCCCCTCCGGGCTGGAGATCGGCAGCCTGCTGCTGCCCCTGCTGCTGCTGCTGCTGCTGCTGCTCTGGTACTGCCAGATCCAGTACCGGCCCTTCTTCCCGCTGACCGCCACGCTGGGCCTGGCGGGCTTCACCCTGCTGCTCAGCCTCCTGGCCTTCGCCATGTACCGGCCGTAGCGCCTCCGCGGGCCCTGGGCGGCGGGGCCGGCCCGTCCGGACCTCGCTCCCCGCAGCACGGCGGGCGCTGCTG